TAAGAAAATAATATTTATATATAGAGAGAAGCACACCATCAGAAACATCATAAGTGACTAAGGGAAACACACCACATAAACCATCAAGGGAAGCACACCATCAGAAGTTACTTATATATAGAGGGAAGCACACCATTCAGATACTAGTTATAGTTATATTTATGGATTAAGCAAGCACACAACAGTGACACGGCTAACATTTCAACCAAATATACAAGACCACCAATTATTCTTCTTCATCTTTTCCTCCTCCAATATCTTGAAGACATCCTCCTTTACCATAGCCATATCCTTTCCAATCTTAGTAGTCGTATCACCATTTTTTTTAACAACTTCCTTCATTTCTTTTATGACCGGCGGGTTCTTTACCGTTAACGGTTTAACCCCACAACTTTTTTTGTTTTAGAGTATATTAAAGAAATGTATATATATAGGAGTCGCACAGAAACATTTAACACAAACTGTTTTTCTCTTTTATCTAAATTATATGACAATGTGTTTAAAACCCACAAATTTATCGTAAACGGTTAAATGTATAAGACCATAAATGTTCTTTTACTTACTAGAAATTTTCAAAAATATCACACTTTTTAATGTCCTCATAACTTATCATACTCCTATCCTAGCAAAAAACAAATGAATTAATTTTTCAAAATTCATAATTCCACAACACCCCTTACGGACAACAACATTAAGAACAAAAAGACAATAAATGAACTATATAAGAGTACAATCTTAAATGAAAATTCGTGTCAATACTTGTTTTCACCATATTAGCAAGCAAACATGCATAACTAAAAAATATATGGTTAGATTAATAGATATTTTATTTGAAAATTGCACAGATCATACACATGATCTTGGTATGATCTTATCCATCATTGTTTGATTGAACATTCATATAGTTATTTACATCACCCCATTTGTTCTTATCTTTTGTAGTCGTCTTTGTTGTAACATTTCATTGTCGCTTATGAGAATGTGATGTGGTATGAGCTTCCGATATTCATATATTTATAGCTTAGGAGCATATAATCAACCTCTCTCAAGTGATCCAAGAGAATTTCCATTTTTGTAAATCTTCAAAACCTAATGTATGCAAGTTGATTTCTTTTGCCATGGAAGAAACGCTAACACAAAACCTTAGATCAATAATATTTCAAAAAATTTGGAGGTGCTAACTTGCTCTCAATATAGTATTTCCACAAAACTGAAATTGCTAATTCAATCTACGGATTGTATTTCTAAAATAAAAGTTGTTTAATATTTTAAAACTATTATAGAAAGAGGGGTTTAATATTTATTGATTTAATAACAATTGTTTAGTATTTTGACACTACTATAGAAGGAGAAATTTTTTCATTAATGAAACCTTACTTGAAGGACTTTTTTCATTAAATTTGTAGTTAAGGGATTTTTTGTTTAAATCGTTTAGTTGATTAGTTTAAAATGGTTCAAATAATATTCAGGGGTTTTTTTGTTAAAAATCTTTTCAAAATCAACCAAAAGACTTTGGGCTTAAAACCCAATAAACACACAAGAGAGTGTAATTTTGGGCTTGGCAATTGTGTAATGGTTACTTGTTACTACGACCAAAACTATCATCAGTTCACGGAAATATATGGTAATGATCTTTTATTTGTCGCTTTAACAATAATTTGTTTGTAAACGAAAAATAATCCAACGCACGTCGCAAAGCCTCTCTTTTAATCTTGAC